TGTTTCGTACAATATATTGAAAGTCAACAACCTTTCCAATTTTATTGTTTTCGTCAGATCCCCGATCAGGCCACGTGTCATGACGCGATCAGCCCACGTGTACTGAAGCGAGTTTAACATTTTTTACCCATACAAAAAAAGTGTAAAACGCCGCTAAAGACGTTTTTACTTCACAAAAACAGTGTTATACTTCCAAATCACCTTTTGAAACAAAGTTTCTTATTGTACGGTACGAACTTGGCTCGGTAAAAAAAAAACTGTAAGGTTTTCGCATCACGATTTTCCGTTAAAAGATGCTCCTTTTTACTTCAACAATGTGGTGGGCTCTATATCACACCGAAAAATATGTGTTTTTTTTTTTTTATAGTTAGGTCCGACAAATGACTCCACCCCACCTGATGTTAAGTGAAGGTGAAGTCCAGACGCGAAGATAGCTGATACAGCAGTTCTACCTGCCACACCAGCCATCCTCACCCTGCCGGCCTGCATGTTGCTTCTTCACGCCTCTTTTAAAGGATCCCAGGTTGTAAGAGGGAGGGAACACGTGAGCGGGCAGAGCATTCCATTTACGGATAGTGCGACAAAGAAATGAGTCACCAAATTTCTTTGTACGCGTTGGAATTGTGGCCACAGTAAGACGGTGACAACGTAGGCCAGCGCGCGTGGTCCTCTGAAGGAAAGGGGAAGGTGGGATAAGAGAGAATAACTCCCCAGAACACTCGCCGTGGTACAAACGATAGAACGCGCTTAGTGACGCCACGTCACGGCGTAATTGAAGAGGCTCAAGGTGTTTAGTCACCTCCTCATCGCCTATGATGCGGATCGCACGCCGCTGTAACCTATCCAAAGCATCGAGCAAGTACTTGGCGGAGCCATCCCAGAGGTGCGAGCAATATTCCACGCAGGACCGCACTTGCGTTTTGTACAACAAGCACAGTTGATCGGGCGTGAAAAAACGCCGCACCTTGTTCGATGTAGTCCTTTGGATTCAGGTCTGAGCGAACTTCCATACCGAGCATGGAAATGTTGCTCTGCAGCGGTAGTGTTGTGCCCTGAAGAGATGGAAGGGGAAGGAATGGCGATGTTTTTGCCGTGAAAGCGCAAGCCTGAGTTTTCTTGGCATTGAACCCAACCAAGTTCCTGGTACCCCATTCGGAAATGTGGTCCAAAGCCTGATTGAGTTCAATGACAAGATTTTCCCGTTTCTCCCTGATTACTGCCTGCCCAGCCGCTGCTTGTCCGAGATACCCCGCATGCACTGTACTATCGTCTGCATAGCAATGAATATTCCCAAGAGGAATCAAGTCATTGATATGCAGCAGAAAGAGAGTGGGGGATAGGACGGAGCCCTGGGGAACGCCGGCATTCACTGACATGAACCGGGAACTGCTACCATCCGTAAGGACACGAATTCTACGCTCATGCAGGAAGTCAGCTACCCAAGAACAGAACTGGGCTGGCAGACCGTATGCCGGAAGCTTGGAGAGAAGGCTTTTGTGCCAGACCCTGTCGAACACCTTGGCAATGTCAAGGCTGATAGCCAACGACTCGCCACGCTTGTCGATAGCCTCACCCCAGGTATGAGTTAAGTACGCTAGAAGATCACCCGTCGATCGTTTCGGTCTAAATCCATATTGACGATCATTAATCAGGGAGTGATCCTCTAGGTAGCGGGTCAGATGGTTATTAAGGACCTTTTCTAGAACTTTACATAAAACTGAGGTGACTGCTATTGGCCGATAGTTTGCCGGGTCTGAGCGATCCCCTTTTTTGGGCACCGGTTGCACGTTAGCAACTCTCCAAGTCTCCGGCACACGCCCCAAAGAATACGAGCATTGGTACAAGCGCGTGAGCACGGGAGACAACTCCGCTGCACATTTTTTAAGTACTACTGCTGGGATGCCATCAGGTCCACTAGCTTTCCGGACGTCGAGTGATTGCAATTCGGCACGAACCTCACGCTGCCTGATTTTAATATCAGGCATCGTTGTGCCACAGTGAGGTAATAATGGTGGCAGTGCATTGCAATCATCGATTCGGGAGTTAGCCGCAAAGAGTTTTGCCAGTAAATCGGCTTTCTCCTGCGGCTTATGAGCTAGTGTTCCGTCTGGGCATCTCAGAGGTGGCAGCGAGGGCTGGCAGAAGTTTTTTTGCACGGCCTTGGCCAAACGCCAGTAGCTACGGGAGCCCGCAGGATGCGTTATAAGTTCTTGGCCAACACGTGCAACACGCTGGGCATCCGCTCTGATTTAAGCTTTCTTACAGGCCTTGGAAGCAGAATTGCAGGCTGCTTTGAGTGAATCGACCCCGGGATCCTTGAGAGCGCGGCCTCTGATCCAAGCACGATATGCCGCTTGCTTACGCGAAGCAGCTTCAGCACAGTCGTGATTGTACCAGAGGTTACGTGTGCCCTTACTGATGAGATCAGAATGAGGAATATAGTATTCCATACCCATTATGATCTCCTCAGTAATGGCAACGGCACTGCCCGATAGGTCCCTGTCACTGAAGCAGCGCTGCTTCCAAGGGACGGACGCAAAGTAATCACGCATACCGTCCCAATCTGCCGACCCATAATGCCAGATACGGCGCTTGACCACTGCTGGACGTGGAGGCTTGACCTGTGGTGCTTTGGCAGATATCAGGCAGTGGTCGGACGAGCCCAGGGGGGCTCTTACCACAACCTGATAGCCCTGTGGATGGGTCGTGAGCAGAAGGTCCAGTAAAGAAGGCGCTTGACTTGGAATATCTGGGATCCTGGTGGGCTGATCAACCAGTTGCTTCAAGTCATGCGTGAGAGCGAATGTGTGAGCAGAGATCCCTGCATGGTCAGTTTTGGAAGAACTTAACCACAAATTGTGGTGAGCATTAAAGTCCCCCAAAAACACCAATTCTGCATTGGGAAATCGCTCCTGCGCGTCATCTGCTGCCCGACTAAGGTGTTCAAAAAGTCGAGTTGTCTCAACATCGCCGGTGTGGGATCTGTAGAGGCACACGTAGATTCTGGCCCGGGGGCCAGAGTCGACGTGTACCCCCAGCATGGAGAAGGAGGGATCTTCCAAGCAGCGGAGACGGCGACAACAAACATCCGCCCGAACATACAGGCATATACCGGCTTTCGCTTTGAAGGACTCTTCAAGCACGTAGCCGGGATAATTAAGGTGGCCTGTGTCAGCAGGCGGAAGTATTTGTGTCTCCGTCAGGAACAATAATGCTGGCCGTGCTGTCTCGAGATGGTGGTGGACAGCGTTGAGGTTAGAGTGGAGTCCGCGTATGTTGCAGAACTCGACCTCAAACAGCGTTGAAGGCGTGGGGGTGTGCACCGCTGTACGTCCAAACTTTGTTATTGAGGCTGCCATGGTGGAAGTGAAAAAAAAAAAAGAGACGCGAAAACGAGCGGACGCCGTCGCGAAGAGTCCGGGCAAATAAGGGGGGTTTGTCTTCCCGATTGACTGCCTGCAGTGGAGATGCGCCGACCCGCCGGACGGAAGGGCCCCCGCACCCCCCCGGGAGTGGCCGCCGGGACCCCACGCCCCGGTCACCAACCGGCACGACAGTCCACCCCGAGATTATGCGTGACATGATGGGGCAGCCTCGCGAACTGGTTAGGAACGCTTGGGCCCCTGTACTGTGCCACGGGCGGCCAGCGGGACAGCCGTTTCTACGGGTCTCCCTGGCCGACGGGTCGATGCAGTCCTCCCGGCATCGGTTCCACGGATGCCTCCCCTGGACCGAATCCTTCGCGACAACTTCCACTCGAGCTCTGGTTGTACGCTGGCTGACCCCGAAACGCGCGAGAAGCACTGTGTGTGGTGTGTACCTAAAGGTACATACGTATAAATGAGTACATAATCTGTTTACGATTCTGACAAATTGAAAGCCACAAAGGCTTTGTTCACTTGATGAATGTATACGATGATTGATTGAATTTATTCTATTAATTTCTGAATTCCAGATCAATTTAAGTCAATTATACTCAAGCACGATGAACGCTCGTATACACCATTAATTTTGTTCACATATTTTATTTTTGATTACCAAAAATGACTGATCTTTCTTATTACGCATAAAAGGGACTTATGATTTTTTACATGGCTACATTTTAATAAAGATTGACCCCAAAGTATTCCTTTTTAAGTTTAATGAATCAAACTTTTTTATTTACTTTGAAATTGCTTTGGAGTAACATCTGTTTCTTTATAACTTTTTTTATTAAATCACAGTAAGAATAACGTTATTTCTTTCATCTGACCTCTCTGTGTCAATAAACAACGACTAATATTTCATTAAAATATTAGGTATTGATGTTATGTGCGATTCTTTGAACTTCTTATGCTAAAGTGGGATTGGTTGTGCTTATATGACGATAATTTATACGCCACCATTCCACACAAAATAAAAAAAATCGACATTGGAATATTATACTTATAAACTGTTACCATTTCACGTGACAGTAGAAAACTAGACCATTTCATCGAACTGCAGTGCTATCTATCGACGGTCATATGCTTTTGATATCTTTGATTACACTTCTGATTTGGGGGCATTAATAAGGTTTCCTTCAAAATTCCGCATATCGATACGTTATCAAATAATTACCCAACTGCTACTATTAAAACAGGTCTGACATCACAAAGACATAATACGTATGATGACTAACTTTTTTTCTTCACCTATCAGATAGATAATGAAAAAGGATTGGACACGTATTTTTTCACATAATCAAAACATTTGATGATTTGAAATGGCGCATGACGTCCCTATTGATACATATTTTACTTATTAGTGACGTCACGAGCCATCGCTCCCAAACTTTTGACTTAATATCTATAATTTTTTGATTGATTGACAAAAGAAAAAATATGTGTATCATTATTATTTAATAATCCGACTGCATAAATAGAATTTCGTTTACTTCACCCCGTCAGCATCCCAATTAAAACAGTTGTATCACAAAGACACAATTTATATCTACAAGGAAGAAGGAATCAAGGACTTACCGAGCGCATAATCACAGGCTGGCCCAAAGAACACGTGGGCGCAGTCATTGTACGCGTCAATGGCCGATATGACTGCGTACGCGGCGTCGCAGTCCAGCACGTCGTACGCAGACAGCTCCATGGTAACTCCTGGCATGTACTGCTTGATAGCGTCGTCTGCAAGCGCTAGCTCGAATACAGACCGAACCTGCGAGGGAAGAGACTCATTATGGATTTCAGATATAAAAATGCTTCACAATAGGCTTTATTCTGGCATGATTGTCTTTTATCATGTTAAATGGATGGCAAACAATCATGTGGCTCACAGAACACAGAAAGAGGTTAGACGGACCTTGTGAGCGGTGCAGGCACGCCAAAGTTATGTGTGAGCAAATGTTCATAACTTGACCAAAACTTGGTTCTGATTTCATCGTCGCTCTCGGGTGTGAGAGTTGATATTTTCGATTGTTTGATGTCGCGTCGTTTAATTGGCTATAGCCGGCGACATCGGTTCCCGTACGAACGGTTTATGATCACTCTGATAACCTCTTTCTGTGTTGCCTACCCTGATCTAAATACTACCCCTTGAAGCCCTGGAATCCTACTCTCCGACAGAAATACAACACCACCAATAGGAAGTGTTATATTACTCTAGTCTTCTGTAAGATGGAGTCACTTCCCCAGTCGGGCGCTCCAGTTCGAGCGAAAAATCCCCTGTGCCCTACATCTCTCAACAGAATTGTGTTGGAATCAGGTCCAATATCAACTTCTTCTCAGGTGACCTCAGATTGAACAACACCCACAAAGTATTTGTAAATATAGCATAGTGATTGCAATACTATCGAAAATAAACTATTATTTACAATTAAATCGTTATGATTGTACCAATATCTCACTCATTACAGAATCGGGAAACACTGTTATGGTATCTTGGTGTGTTTCACGACGAAAAGCTCATCTCGGCGATCCTTACGTGCAGATGTGACATTTGGATGATTTTTATTGAATTAACTTCCCCTTACGCAGTTTTTATTTAATAAATAAAAAGGGCTACTTATAATTTTAAGATATCGAAAATGAAAAACAACAACTGCAATGTTAACCGCCCTAATACATGTGTAGTGTGATTTAGTTAATTTTAAGACATAACAGCCGTGCTATTCTGTAAAATTTTCAAGCGGTTCCGATATAAATCCGCGCTTAGCTATATTGGATCGGCGCGTGAAAATTTTACAGTAGCACTGCGAGTGCCGCCACGCAATAAGCACACGTGGCAATTAGGTTCATAAGTATGTGATAGATACAAAGTTGTATGTGGATACTAAAATATTATTCTTAAAAACACCTGGTAGTTACTTATCTGTAAAAATCTATAATTGATAAATATCATATGAACATTGTTCAATACTCAAGAACTTTTTGTTTATTTTATATTTGGTTATAATTAACTACTAGTTTTTTTTCTAATTTGAACAATATTGCATGTAGGTATATTTTAAAAGTTATACAAGAACAACTGTTTACAAAACTTGCAAACCCCTCTCCTGTAAAATCTGCAATTTTCTCTAATGGGATTTTATAATCCCATAAGTGAAGATGTATGGGCTGTCGTAGGTAAGGACTGTCGATCTTCGATGATCTTATTGCTCGATAATTATTTCTAAAGCATCCAGAAGAGACTTAGATTTGTGATGCGTCACTCATGGGATTTTACTCGGGCCAAAACATTAACAATATTATAATATAAGTTTACGAAGCCATATTGAGCATATACATCAGAGATCTGGAGTCCCAGGTTTAATAATATCTACATAAGAGAATGAATAATGAACATTGATTCATTTACCCGCCTGATGGATATTATTGTACATACATTCAAAGTCAAGTTTTTATCAAGTTTAAAACTTTGTTGAAGGAATATTTATCCATTTTAATCTGTAGTTGAATATTGGTAAATGGATTCACGTGTTGAAATAATGCGTTACTAATTATTTTAATCTGTTTTTATCTGGGAAGTCCTATAATTGGCTATGTTGCTATCTGCGAGAATCTATAATGTTATTGTTACTATTGTAGTTTATCTTTTGTATTAAACTACGGTTAGTCTACGTTATAATAAATAAATAATTATTATCCTGATTAAAATACTGATGTTTGAACTCGATAGAAATAAGCAAGGCACCAAAAACTACCCAGCTTTATGTAATTAAAGAACGAATTTAATTTTTGCATTGACCTGGTTGATGATTAAAGTCACGAATATAAACTAAAGAAAATGTTATTTCTTCATTAAAAATGTTTTATAACCAGTAATTTGTTTTCCAAAAGTAATAGAAGAAAAAACGGTGTCCATACTTTGCTATCTCTGAGATTTTAGGTAAATATAAAAACCTCGAAAATGTGCATCAGAACCTTACAAACTTAGCCACATAACACGTTTCTTAAATGAGACCGTTGAACCCCATAAATTTTTACCTTTACTTATATCATTATTATGTTATAGAAGCAACAGTAATTGAAAACATTTACTCGCTATTTACGTTTCATGAAATACAGCCCGGTAACAGGCGACCGGACAGAAGGGATTTATTAATAATAGGGTTTCGTGACATTCGCGAGTAGAAACACAAGAATAGATGTAGCAACACAGGTTGCAAGTCAACCAACATATGTAACGTAATGTAATCTTTGTAAAGTTGGTAGTACTGGGTGTATCAACCAATAATAGATCAGTATTGATTTGGTCATGGTGGGTAATATGAAACGTCCAATCACCACAGGGTTTTGTTATATGGTCAGAGTAGGGACACGAAAAATGTATCGATACTTTGTGGTATCGAGTACTTTTCCTTTCGATACCGATACTTTTGTACTCGATACTTTGTATTCGATACTTTTACTTAATGAGTACTTTTTGGCAAGTATCGATACCTTTAAAAATTTGGATAAGCGTCTCATATTGATGGCAACGCCATCTTGTTAAATCATAGCAAACCTTCTAAAACGTTCCATAGGGTATTTGACAAGTTTTAGGCAACGATCTCACGTTATTGACTTTTATGGAGTCCGTAAAAAGTGGATATTCATCATTCTGTCTTGTATTTCAGTAAAACTGACCAAATCAAAAACTGCATTTTCAAGTTGCTGCGAAAACGTTTCTCTGGACAATATGGCGTCTTACTAGTGTGTGACGTCATACGACTGTTATTAAAACGTCAAACGATACAATGTGATGTCACTTTGACCGGAAGTTTACTTGCGTGTTTCGTCATTTTAGGCTCCGCCAATCCCAAGCGTTTTGGGTTACGTGACAATAGATAAGAAAACTAATATCTTTTTCGTTATTTTGGCACTTTATTTTTAATACTGTCAAATGCCCTATTGCGTTGTTATAAAGTCAGTAACTGACATATTCAAATTCTTTCCAATCTGTGACTGTGTTTATTTTGCGCTTTGTTTAGTTTCATAGTTATTTATTTAGCGACCATATTGTTAGGAGCTGTGATTGATTCGCCGTTTATTGTGCTTTTCGCTTGACTGTATTTGATTTATTCAAGTGTAACACTATTTGTATCACCTGAAAAAATACGGACGTAACCTCTTCTATAATTATAATCTTGAGTGAAGCATGCCAATGGCAGCCGTTAACTACGTGTCAGATTCAAGTTAATATAAGTGGGTATAATGACTTTTATTATTAAAATTCAAGAAAAATAAGTTTAATTTGAAACAAATTTGAAAAGTTTCATACTTTTAAATTGTTTAAGATTTCGATCTTTTTAATTTACATTTTAATTATGAATGTAATATTAATGAACACTTTTTTAGTGTCAAAAATCACAGCTATTTTCTTTTCATTATATAATATAGCAATTTGTGAACTTACATGTCCTTTTTTTGTTTTTGATTATACGTACTATACTAAAATTTTATTGCTTTTCTTTCAATTTTAACACCGGGGGAGGGGGGGGGGGTTGCTCATCAGGCCACAGAGGCTCTATGAAATGTACTCGATACTTTGAAGTATCGATACTTTTACGAGTACGATACTTTCTTACCGATACTACTCATGAGTACAGTATCGATACTTTCAATTCGGTGTCCCTAGCTCAGAGTGAACTACTGTCCTACTGGACAAGAAATCTGCAAAATTTGTTCACTAGGGGCGCTGTAATCGCTTGACCCAAAACTTCTATCAAATACATACCTATTAGCTTATATTCATTTTTATCTGGGGCAGGTAATTGCATCTGGACGTCTTCAGATTGATCAGCAAAAACTGCACCAAAATTAAAATTGCGGACTTATGCCTCAAGACTGTAAAAAAACCCAATGTTTTACTTCCCATTTTAGCCCGAGGTAACCTAACTCAATGAGATGTCTGACTGATGTAAAAATAAGATAGATTTGACTAATGAGCCCGCTAAAAGTTACTGAGATCCATGAACTATTAAAATAATCTTGGGAAATTCTCATTTCTCGGTACATAGATGACCGAGAATGAGCATTCTAGCATAATAATAGAAAGAGAGTACCTTTCTACTAGATCAGCTTTTCTTGCCTTGCATAGATGATCCTCTCCTTTTCAACTCTGTTTTCAGCTATATTACAGACCATGTTGAATACCTTTTCACCACTTATTTAATATATACATATATTTAATATAACAATAAATAAACACGTTAAAAATTTGTCAGCTGCAATATTCGGATGTAGTTTGGGTCAAGCGTTTGCAGCGCCATCTATGTCGAGCTTTGCGTATACTTCTCCATTGGAGAGTGAGAGAGTGGAGGGAAAAATTAAGGGGCAGCGGCGGTGGCAACAGACGCTTCTGCGGCAGAAAAGAGGTTGAACAGCTACGGGTGCAGAAGTGACGGGTGGAATAGCGGAGTCCTGGAGAGAAGGCCGGAGTGGTGAGTCAATTTTTCTCTCTATGTATATATACATCTGTATTTTTACCGATGTTAAGGCTAGAAGTTTGGACGCTCAAACTCAATTTTTAAAAACATTAATTCAGTTTAGGATATTACAAGCACTTGTGAAGATCAAGAAGCTACGCTATCGGTTCGCAAAACTCAGCAGGAAACTCAGCAAAGGCTGTTTTTTTCGCCCTGTATTATTATATACAGAGTTGTCAAATTGAAAAACCTACAAGAGACGGATACCTAATCATATTTATTTGTGTAGAAATAAACATTTTATAGCATATAATGGACTCTTTGGGACAAAGGGTTTCAATGTGACACTTTAAGTGCGGAATCCGGAAACTTACTATTCAATAGTTGTGATACAGACAGACTAACCAAATATATATTTACAATCCCTTTATGACAATAGCGATTAGAGTGATGTTAGTAGCATACGAGTATCCACTGACACGCTCTTGACTTTACCCCAATTTATTTGTTTACAAGTTAATGGTGCGGTGTAAGTTTAAACAAATGTCCCTTAATCAGTAACAATATTTAATAAAATAATTGGCAAACTTCGTAGAACTGTAACAACCAAGATACTATTTGGACACTCACAGCGGGCAAATTGGCATCAAAGGAACAATTCTGCGGCAGCAATAGTGCCGCTCTAACCGCACAATTGCCATCCTTGTCACACAGATTCTCGCACTCCTTCAGTCGCGGCTCGTTATCGCGACAGTTCTGACTGTCGACGAACTTCAGAACACTGATCAGTATCACACACCACCACATTATATCGATGTTTCTATATCATCGACGACAGCACATCACTATTGATTCACCGACACATTTTTTCACTAACACCATCGCACTATTGATCTGAAACAAACAAAAGGAATAGTTAGAAACGTAATAATTAAACGTATTGAAGTATTAAATTAACCACAATTTAACTTTTTCAACAACGGCTTTAATAATAAACCGTTTTAGTAATACCAAAGTATTAGCTAACGCAGAGTTAAATACCATTACATTATTATTGACTTGTGGTACGCGCTAAGATAAAATAAAGATACAAATGACACAGAACGTAAACAAGGCGGGAATAATTATTTACAAATAGTCCAAACCCGAGATTTTTAGATACGTTGATACATTGCAACGTAAACGAGTTTTCAACGTGCGGTAAAATAACATAAATTTGCTAGAAATAACAATATGTCATGTCAGTTGTCAATCTGGCTTCTTTACCGTACCGCTAGTAGTGTAAAGATAAATAAATAAGAATAAAGGTGGCTACACACTGAGTGGCTAAAGTAGTTTTGGTACATTAACTAAAGTTAGTGGAAAGCTCAAATCAATGTCTTAAGAGCAGTAATTCGCACACACTATGACTACTGACGACGCCAGGACTATATATACTATACTGTGTTGTAAAAATTTTGCATTCGAGGCTAAACACAATTCCTAATTCGTCATGTCTAAGAACTTGGCACCAGTTGTGTAGTCTAAGCCTTATCAGAGCCAGAGCTCCAGCCGTATGGGATTGAGGTACATAAAACGTGAGGGATTTCCGCCTACGCGTCAATACTATGGTAGGTGCAGCTGTTTACTTTACAATATAGCAAAATGCATGGACCAATAGCGATAATTCTTATTTGACAACAATAAAAATATTGTGGCGGCACTTCACTTGGCTATTCGTATTTGCTATTTGTAAACTTGACAATAGTATATCCTTATCATGCTTTTAAGGAATGAAACATTACAAACCATATTACCGCAATGCTTATATAACAACAATAAAAGTATTACGAACATTAACTTGCTGGAAAAAGATCACCGGTCTGTCGTATGACTAATCTTTATATATATAATTCTTCTGTGAGTGTGTATGTCACTGAACTTCTCTTAAACGACTGGACCGATTTTGATGAAATTTTTTGTGTGTGTTCAAGGGGATCTGAGAATGGTTTAGATTCACAATTTTGTCCGCTGGACAACCCCTATTTTTTTAGGGCGGTACGAAGTTCGCTGGGTCAGCTAGTACCTACGTATAATATTTTATTTTATACTTTGGATATGGCAACAGAAAACAAATATTTGTACATACAGAAAAGATTTGCTCTAACTGCTACAAACTTAATTAACATCGCATCTCTCGCTTATTTCTCGGTCCATTTCTAGTTTAGAATTTCTTTTTGTACTTTGCGGTAAACGTTGCTGATGTCACAATTATACATACAATGTATTATGTACTAGTTATTTAAAATGTATTGTGTCATTGTTTGTTTACCTAAATAAACGTTTGTTCAATGTTGCTATTGTTTAATATATTCTTATTATTATTTTTATTCAAGATTAAGTTTCTTTTAGTCACGTTAAGCTGTTGGTCTCGACTGCATCGTCGTTAGCACCCGCCGATCCACACTGGGCCGTCAGTCATGGTTGGTCATGGCCCGAACATCAATAGATTGATGATGATCACTACGGTTTAGAAGCTCTATTAAAAACTTTTAAAACCAGCAAATTACTATTGAACATATCAATAAAAAACAGAGTTAGTAACTTTTCGTATTGCCTCGTGTCTGGAAATTTGTAGGTAGGTTCATTCAATAACACACCAGGTTAACAAAGTATAAATTGATTCTCAGTCGGTTGTGAATCTAACATCAAAATAAGGCTAAAAGTCAATTATAGCAATTTGTCAGTTTTGGTAACCTTGCATACTGTACTTTCGTTGTTTCTGGCTTCCACGCTTATAAATGCACCAAAAACATTAATCTAAAACAACCTTTACTAGATGTTGAGTGGCCAACTGACTTCACATCGCAACGCCACTATCAATTTACAAACTCTGTTGCTTGAGTGATATAATATACGCTCGCCGGTTTCCAAGGTGTCGCTTACTCAGAGATCCCGGGTCCGCATCCCGGCGGGGAAACTGTTTCTGTGATGAGTACGACCATTTGCACCTAATTCATGGATGTTTATATTTATGTATAAATAAATGTATACATACTTTGGGGCTAGGCTAATTGATGTGTAAGTTAGATTTTTTTGTTTAGTTATGGTTTATTAGATGTTTCTCTTGCAGTATTTATGATAAGTTACCAAGCTACTAGCTTGACTCTAAGCAACACGCCATATTTCGCCTTCCACGATCAATTTCATTTCCAAATTACTATCTAACATTAGCTTTTTCTAAGGGCAGGCATGTTCTTTTAGTGTGATGGTTATTTAATGAAGTTTAATGTTGTAATAAAACTACTAACTTATTATTCGTTTATTTAAAAAAAAAACTCTGTGTGGTGTTTTAAGCTTACATAAATGTGTTTGAATAAGCCTTTTGCTAAACAAAAGCATTTTGCCTGGCGTGGTGTTAAGTCATATTACAACTGAAAGCATACTCTTCTTAAACCAATATTTAATGCAAATAAAAATAACGTTGAATGTTATTTTTCGCGCGGAGTGTAAAATTGGCGAAAAATATGGCGGGGAAATAAAAAACACCCTGCAAGTTCAAGTTGGAATCATGGAATTGAGATTTCGTACTAACCGTTAATAGTTAGGTGATTTTATACGGCTCTATTACAATAATTAAACAATATTATTTAATCTTTAAACTATGAATGCCGGGACATTGTTTTATAACGAAAACAGAGTCCATAAAAATTGATTTAGGCAAGAGTTTTGCTGTAGGGGAAGAAGTGTTGTTGTTTGAAGAACGAACTCCGATTAGCGTTGTAGTAATAATGTAAGTGCTTCCAGTCCACTGAACTAAGTGCGAATCGGACCACGCGCAATTTAGAGTTCGGTTAGTACGGTAGGTACTTACCCAACACAATGAGACAATCGCAAACTTTTATGTAACATTTCTAAGCATGTCCCAACAGCATCTGGACGCTCGCATATAGGGCGCTTCTCACACTGCCACGCACTACGCTACGTAGCAAGGGAGTCCGAATTCTTACGTTGCTTGCAAGTACCTCTCTTTGTAATGAAACGCGAGTAGTGCAACACACCGAAAATGGAATAACGCACTATGTTGCAGATCATGCGCCTACATGCAAAGAAACACGAGTTTGTAAGGCGAAACCTGCATTATGATGGGGATCTGCACTCCCGCATGCGGATGCAGACCCCGCAGCGTAGTGCGGGGCTGTGTGAGAATCGCCTAAACGCAGATCCGTACGGCCCGGTACCACAAAATTTTGTGCTGGTATAATGCGATTCAAATAAGCATAGGAAAGCCAATGACATCTATTTGTCACATGTCGCTTGAATGGTACGGTTTGCAAAAAAAAATCTTGGAACCCTTTTTTAGCACTACGCTAATTCAAGAATAAATATTGTAAATATTGTAATTGTAATAACAAATATTGATAATTAATATCGGTTGATATTTTATTTTTACTTATTGAGCATTGGCCATGAATGATTGATAACCTAAATCGTCAACCAAATGTCACTTTAAGTTGCGTTCAGAAACTCAATTTTAAACTTTCGTTTACATAAAGATACATGTTCGTATGTGACCTAGTAGTAGTGCATGATTATTCATAACAACTCCGACGGTAATGCAGAGATGAGCGAAATAGAATTAATGTTTTTCTCACAGTCTTAATAAATAAATATTATTAAAATCGGTGTTTGTTTTTTCTCAATCTTAGTAAATAAATGGTTTTAAAAAAATCTGATGCTTTTTCTCACTTAAACTTAGTAAATAAGTTTTATTAATTAAAAACTTTTTTGCTCACTCTACCTGTTTGGTTTGAATTGACAGCTATGACATCACAATATGGCGCCCAGTCGGTCCTATTCTTAGTTGAATCGCATTCAAACGCTGCCCATTCCAATACGTTATTCAATCATAAACATATTTTGGAATAACAATAGTTGTGTGGGGGTAACGATAAATGAAATTAAAGTCCCAACTTTACGTGTACAGGAGGAACAAATCTTTTAAAGATATTATTTAACCACTTCGTCAGTGTGACTAATACGCTATATCCAATCTATTCTAAAGTCTCCAACCTAAACTGCGGACAAAAGGATGGATATGGCGAAACAATATGGGTTTCTTCTTATAATGCCATCATTAATTTTACAATTTTAAGTATTAAAACAATTTAGTAAGTTTGGTTAAGATGGCACAATTAAATATATCGATCAAAGCTTCTAGACAAATAAAAAACTTTAGGTCGACTTTCACCAACTCCTTAATCGCTATTAAAATCTTATTTAAACATAAAATTCTGTTTAAGGCTCAAAAACTTCTTTCACCCACTACTAGTTAAGATTAAGCTAGCCGTCAAAGTTAATTTGTGGATTGTGGGTGATTAGCTATGCACATCTCGATAAGGAACTGTCACTGGGCAGATTGAAGTTTCATTTTGACAGTTTGGCGCGAAGTTTCCAAAAGTTTTTGTTATTTTTCGTTGAAATAAATAAAATTAAACAAATAATATCAACATCTAATGTATGAATTAGACATACGGTCACTAAATTTTATATCATGCTTCTTTTTATGTCCTTGTTTGTTTTAACGCAAGGATGTGCATTCTTCTGATAATTTTATTTGTACCACTCATATTCTTTGTTTAATCTTAACCTACGCAAAAGACATTCAACGGATGAATGTGTCATTGTTGATTGCTGAATGAAGCACAGAATATATTATAAATAAAACAAGTTTCAACAGTTAAGATGCACTGATTTAGTTATTTATTGACGTTTCGAATCCTTTACAGGATGCGTCGCCTGAATAATGATTTTATTTACTTTGTCGAGCTACCTTCGAAGGTAAGTAAATAAATAGGCCTCCATAGACGAATATACCAACCTATCTATAAATAAAAGTAGTTCTAACGGATTAA